ATTTTACAAAATTAATCTTATGATTAATTTTTTTTTACTTAAAATGATGCAACACAAACTATTTTTTAAAGAATACTATATTTAATTTAATATAACACTTATTTATTTATTTTTCAATTGCAACACTTATTATGAGATGGAGAGAGTAATTGTGTAGTTTATTTTATTATGTTTTTCCCTTATACTTTTTTCCAACCAAATTAGAATATTATAATATAGTCACTTTTTTTTGGAGAGCACCCAACTGCCTTCCCTTTGTTTTTCCTCGCAAAGTAAGGATTAATGTCTCCAAAAACTAATCCACAGTAAAATAATTTGGTATGGAGAGTTTGCGTAAAGCTAAAAGGAAAGTGAAATAAAAACATTCCCTTTGGTCACCTTCTCTATAAAATTTTAGGTACCAAAAGCATTGGAGGAACTCTGATTGGACAAGGATATTGGAAAAACACCAATAATTATTGGAAGACTTTGTGATTAAATCAGTGGTGATAATTGGATTACCTTGATTGACATTAATTGCGGGCTAAATCACTGTTAATCTTTTAGGTTGTGGTTACTTTTGTCTCCAACTAATCATCATGTTCATTTGGACAAAATCCTAGCTCAAAATTGCCTCTTCTGGTCCTTTTGTGTCAAATCCTTTGATCCAAGCATTGAAAATTTCTTCCACCCTAATCATTCTTTAATCGACTCTATATATTATTTTTAAACCTAAACCAATCAAGTTAGTTATCAATTTTTTTTTCCTATCACATTATATATGGTCTTGAAAGTTGAAAAAACTAAAGTACGTGGTTACAGTTTACTAGTCATCTTCTAACTTGGAGCGGGAAGCAGAGGCTAAAAAAGTGTGCAAAGTATATAAATGTATGGCTCACAAGTCACAAGTTATGATCCATGGTCGGCATGCTCTTTTCTCACTTTTCCTAATATGCCATTCACATCTCTTACTATGATATCTTTCCATGCTACTGCCATCCTTTCCATATGACTTTTTCTAATGTACTTCTCTTTTTCTTGTTTTCAAATAAGAAATTTTGATGACAATGGGAGCTATCAAGTACATGATGGAACAAAAGATTATAATATCAATCAAATTATATTCTTTTGCAAGAATTTTGGCAATCTTTTTGTTATCATATAATTATAATTAATCACTTTATTTTTTTTAACGCAATATTAAATAATTTTTCTAATATTTTTAATATATTCTTTTATAATTGATTCTAATTTATGTTGGTTCTATTAGTTAAGGGACGAGACTCACATTTTTAATGAAAAATGTTAGAAAGAATATTATTAGTATTTCTCTTAACTTTTAATTGTAAAACATTTATATAAATTTATAAGACTAACATAATGTAGTATGATGAATAACATGTCTTTTAAATGTCATATTAGAAATTTGATCACCATTCTTTAGATTTATGTAACTAATGAAATATTTATTTGAAGAAGTCAATTTCTATCTGGAAATATTGCTCTTTAATTATTAGCTGAGGAATACTAGAATATCCAAATAAAATAAAATAATGATATCCCTCAAATTAATGACAAATAAAAACATGAACTTAAGTTTGGTTTCTGTTACCATTAATAAAAAAAAAAAGTTATTCAATTACTTAAGATGATGACAGCATTTGGATTAATTACTTCAGTGTGAACTAAGCAAGAGCAGGCATAGATTTGTTGATGACCCAACATAAGCAAGTGCTTAGAAAGAAAAGATGTACACTAACCTCAACCTGGGAGGATTAGTAACAGTTGGAACTGACATTGGGAATAATTAATGTCGGGGACGATGGGATTTGACACACGACTAAATTATAGGTGAAATCATGATTAGCATCGAAATCGAACAAACACACCTGCAAAATTAGAGTGTAGGCATTGTGGGAGGTATTTCATTTCCTATTTTGACTTTTCCTTTGCTTTTTTTTTTTTTGCTTCATGGCCCCACTTTGGCATGTCCCTTGCAACCTTGAGGCCATCAACATTCTTTACTTTCCGGTGACACTCTCCGACATCCAACACGTGTGAATAGTGGCTTTTCTCACTTCAATTTTTTTTCATAACAAGCAATTTAACCCATCATTAACTAGGGTGATATAATGGGTTTGGAAAGTGCTTTACTTTCCATGATTAACTTAGCTCCTCTTTTTACAATACTCCATGATCTCATCCACTTAAGTTATAACCCATAAAATGCAAGGCATATGTGAGGAAAAGAAGGGCTCATTGGCATGCCATGAAAATAACACAATTTCCTCTTTAAGTTTGACCCTTCCTTTTGTCATGGTGCCTTCTATAGTAAAAAGTTGTGCACGGTAATGTAAAAATGAAGTTTCTTTAAAGTTAAATGCGTGGTTAGTTTATTAATTAAAGTCATAAAATATTACTACATTGATTATTTAAGTATTTTATTATAAAATTAATCTCTTAGAGATTTAATCCATTATAATGAATTTAGATTTTTTTTGGAGATTTTTTTAAAATAAAAATATGAAAAGGTTTTATATTTTAGTTTGATGATTAATTTTTGGTTAAATTATTATTTTGGTTCCTGTACTTTTATTAATCTATAATTTTGGTCCTTTTATTTTAAACTAGAGATATTTAATTTTTTTAATTTTTAAAATATAAAATTTTGATTGTCTCATTAATATTCGTGTATTGTTAAATTTTGACATTATCGATTAATTTATTATCGTGATGTGATATTTAGTGATGCAACATATAAAAATAAAAACTAAAAATAACATATAAAAGGTGAATCTATTTTTTACGAGTGATTAATATTTATTTTATTAATAAAAAACTTTATATATATATATATATATTAATTTTTTAATATCATGTTACTAACTGCTATATTACTTAAATATCAATAAATGTTAAGATATAAGATTAATAAATGTCAATTTAATGGGAGAATCAAACTTTTGTATTTTTAAAATTAAAAAGATTAAACATCTTAATTTTAAACTAAAGGAACTAATATTGTGATAAAAAAAAAATAGAGACAAAAATGCAATTTTACCTTAATTGTTTTTAGAACATTAAAATGATAACATACAAAAACTTTTAAAGACCAACTTATGAATCTTCATTAGCCCTTGATGGTGGGCCATTCTGTGCGCAGATTCTCAACTTGGAATTCATCATGGGCTTGATTTGTCAATCAATTTAAATTCTGATATTTGGGCTTCGTGGACTCAGTGACCAAATTGTTGGATAATGCTGATCAAAAGAATAGAGAGTCGTACCCTTATGAAAACACATCTGAAAACTTCAATGATGTATGTCTCAGTTTTGCTTGTCCATTACAGTGTTACGCCAACATGGGAAGACGAGCAAATACAGAACCAATACAGGTACATAACAGAGAATGCATATGCAACATTAACATCAAGGCAACTTGCATATTAAATACAAGTACATAACAGCATCAAGAATTCAATCATTTCCATATTAACATAAAGGCAATGCTATACAACTATATAAAGTGGCCACAGATGTAACTAGTAACCTCTGTTTATAGACACTTTCTAAACATATACACATGAACAAAAAAAAGTGTTTTCAGGCCAATTCACCAGGCAACAACATTATTAATATCACTATGCCAAGGCTCACTCTTTAAACTTTTACACATGATAACATCTGAATTTAACTAAATCGCAATAATGTCACTCTTCACCATGTGTGTATGATGTCCATTTTACTCATTTTCTCAAAAGTTTAGGAAAGGAAAGAAAAATGGAAATAGAGCATCATATTTAACCTTCATAATCTACGGTTCTAGTCATATTATTACTCTCTGCCTCCACGTGTGAAAAAGAAAAGGTGCACAAATGTCAGACGAATTTAAAAAACTGTATGAAAAAAGAATGACAACTTATGCAATTTGACAGGTGATCAGAGGCATCAGGCATGTAGATATTGTTTTTCATCTTTAAGTTGGTAGGATACATGGTGCCAGACAGGAAATTGTGAACAGAAATAAACTGTAGTAGTGTAGTACTATGCAGTATCATCATCACGTGCCATAACATTACCATACAAACCATAATACAAAAGAAACAAGAAGCAAAGTCTACCATTTCATGAGGAATAATGTTGATTTCTTCATCTGTTCAACGACATAAATCATGAGGATTCGGATCCTGCATGCAATCCTGGACAGGGAACAAAGAAATCAGCACAACTTTATGTGCCTGCTCTTACTTGTTGCAGACACTTGCAGTTCTTTTTCCTGGCCTATGTGAAGCTTATGATCAATATGGTGAGGACCTTTTAACTGTTTCTCTTGAAAGAAATGTTCTTTAAGGGGAAAAGGAATCAGAAAAACTGCAGACAGAAAAATTAAAATGAATATTGTGATCAAGCATCATGGCAAACACATCGTACACAAAGCAAGTAAACTGTTAAATTTTCACTGTGCTTTATAACAGAAGAAACACTTCAATAACTCACTACTATTGCACAGAAATAATAAGTCAAGTATATCACATCAATACTAGGAATAGTTGACATATTGAAACAAATGATATCATTGCAATAAACAATATATTACATAATTAAGTGACCTAAAATTCAGGGTAAAAGGGCTATTAGAATGCAAGATATAATAAGGTGGCGAAGACAAACTTATTCTTACTGCGAAAACCACTTTAGTACAGATCCAACATAGTTCACAATGAAAAGAACTATAACTTGATTTTTTTTTTCCTTTTAAATTGAAAATTTTCAGGCTATTTTAATTATTATGAATCATCATAAATTGTATCGTACACAGTTGAAATTTGCTCTGCTGTATTTCTGTCGTTCGTATTTCATCTTCTTTTTTTACCCCCCACAAATTACTCCATGCTAGCAATGCTTATAGCTAAAGCGAACTGAAAATGGATTTCGCTTCCCTTGCTAGGTAATGTAAGTGAAAATTGAAGAAATAAAAGTGTTCTTTCATGCTTTCAACGCTATTTTACATACCACAATACCACTAGGCACACAAGTGTTGTGTCGAGTAGCATCATCGCGTTGCCAAGAGATTAGACCTTGTTGGGTGCTACTGGTAAGAAGATTTTAAATTTATCGTCATCATTCAAAAACTGAAAGCAAGAGAAGCTAATTGCAGAAGCTTTTACTCTTATTTTATCTAAAATCTAAGCATCTTTATCCAACACCAATGCATCTTAGTCACAATTTATATCAAGATTATTCATAATTTTGTGTATTTCTGTGTTCAAACAATGTCTGGTTGATATTTCATACATTAACACAAGCTAAGTACAGCGAATCGCATATCGTATACAGTAAACCATTTAGGTTAATATTCAAGAGATAGTAATTAACTATGCTCCTCTGAAGCCTCGTAAGACTATACCGCATCAATTATTAAATTAGATACAACTAAAGAAACCGCAGCATCATAAACCCGCGCTCCCCCTTCACCCAACTTTCTCTTGCCTTGTTTACCTCAATTACCTGATATTCCACTATTTGAACTACGGTGTCACCAGATTGCATGACTTATGTAATTGACTATGAAAAATCATTTCATGGTCCGAACCATGATAATCCTAACTATTAACTAGTGCCTAACTACTGCATTAAATGTAATCTCTACATATAAAAATTTAATTGTATGTCATATATAGATTAATTGACCGAAACTATAGAAAATGATCATCTTGGATTATCTAGTAATTTATCATGTAAATTTAGTGCAAATGTACGGATCATGCTAACACAAGTATTTTTTAATTTTTGGTTTTTATTTAGCGAGTAGAAAATAAACAATAATTTTCAAGCATAAAAAAAATCAAGGGAACCAACAAAATGTGAAAATGTAAAAATGGTGTTTTTCCTTCAGGTCCACAGAATAAATGTGAAGCAGCAATCAGATAAGGCTGAGAGATAAGCCACATTTTGTGCTCACACACTCACTCCACACTCGATCCATCACAAAAATCACCCTACACTGAAACACATACATAAACATATCTATTATACTATATATACACATCCCTTTCCCACTTTGTCCAACAAAAAAAAAAAATCTCATCACTCTTCCAAAACACCGCCATGGCCACCGCCGCCGCCACGTCATACTTCTTTGGCACCCGCCTCAACAGCCCGACAACCTTAAACACTGGGAAATTCCACGCTCTCTTCAACTTCGGAACCAAGAAGGCGCCGCCGCCGCCGAAGAAAAAGGAAGTGAAGCTGAAACCCGCCGGCGACCGGCTGGGG